GGATGAAAAGTGTTACAAATCAGTTATTAGTAAAAAAAAATAATCACATTAAAAAATTTAAGACAAAATGTTCATCTTCAACATGGTCATTCTCACACATAGCACATTCTGTCTTCAATATCCATGCCGGTATGCAGGCCTGTTTCAATTTTCAGACAGTCTAAACTTTTTCAAGGATTTGCAAAGTACACTGTTTTGATATTTGTTAAGTAGTTTTCTTTTCTATTTTGGTTTTAAATAAATTATATGTTCTTAGTTTATTTTTAGAATTCATTTTTTTCCTGTTATTACTTTATTTTCCACTCTGTTCAATTGCTAACTCTTCTTTTAATACCTCATCAATTGTTTTTAATTTTGGTAATGAGACTGCCGCCCTTCAATAATTTTATTGATTTTATTTGTGGAGTAAGAGAGACTGGTTAGGAAAAGTTGGAAATTGGCCTGTAAATACAAATTTAATTCTGCAAAGCATGGAGTTTTCGTACTACATTTGTACTACCGGTATGTTCAAATCTAAGACACATTTTGTGATTTTTTTGGCGACCTTTATACGTGCTTTGTTTTGAAGACTTTGCATGACAATTAGTTTGGATCCTTCTACCCCGTTTTTCAAATGGCCCATCTTTGTGGATTTGACTGAGTGTTGATTATGTTCGTGCCAAATGGACATTTATTTTGTGACGGACACAATTGAATAACACATATTCATGAAATATTAAACAGTCTGTGGCACGCGTGACTGCATCATCGTTTTTCCTCACACCCCTGCGCGCATGTAAATTGTTCCAAGATGGCGATATCACTTAGCAGTAAGTATAGATATTTAGCGCCTGCATGGCGATCCTAATAATACTTTCTATGGCACGAGATTTACGGGACTGTGCCTCGACACTGAATAGAATGTTGACAACTGCTGTAAACCGCTTTAATTTCGCGAGTCCGTGAAAATTGCGAAATATTTATGACACACTCAATATTGTAAACTGAACTTTATTTGGCATTGTCGAAGTGTACGTCCAGTGACACGTACAGCGTCAGTAACTTCTGCGAAATTTTGATCTCACGAATTCACAAAATCCTGCATGAAATCTCAAACATTTCTAGCTGTGAAAATTAAACGATTCACAGTATAAACCGTTACCCAGAAGCTGTTAAGCGAGAATAGCGGAATGAAAAAAATTTGTCGTCGTTGTGGGTAATTAATGTCATGCCCCCTGACACAGTCAGACATCATATCGAACTCATCATATGCAATACGCTATCCCATTATACCAACTTGTACTCTATGATAGGGGGACTGTGCTTGGACTACAATGTACTCAAAATAAGAGGTATGTAATGGCAATCTTGAGCTTCAACCTGAGCTTGCTCAGAGTCAACCTGAGCTCCAACTTGAGCTTCAACTTGAGCTTCAACCTGAGCTCCACCCTGAGCTTCAACTTGAGCTTCAACCTGAGCTCCAACTTGAGCTTCAACTTGAGCTTCAACCTGAGCTCCACCCTGAGCTCCAACTTGAGCTTCAACTTGAGCTCCAACTTGAGCTTGGGAAATTGTTTACAGCAGAAGCTCAAACAAAGTTGGGGCAACTACACTGAGCTCCAACCTGAGCATCTATAAGATTACATCAGCTGGGTTGAAGTTGAATATTATGTTTCCAATTCTGCAATTGCCCAAGAGTTTTGTTACGGTCAACTGCCGAACCCGAGAAAATGCCACACACGTACATAAGACCGAATATATTTCTTGAAATATTATGGTGAAAATAAATCTCGCTAAGTGAAAGGGAACTACTTTAAAGATTCACAGTACTGGTAAACGCTGTAGCCATTGCTTACTAATCACTCAAACCCGTAAAATATCTTACTTTTACAAGCTACGTTGACATCAATATCTATATTATGTAGGGATTATACTCATGAGCGCCCAGTAGTAAAACAA